TCACTCATGGACACCCAAAGCTTGATGTGATGCAGACTAAACTTTTTACAAGCTAAGTTTTAAACTAAGTATTAAAACAAAAAAAGCATCTTTGCTCATGCACACGTCTTTGATTAAGCTAAAAAAAAAAAGCCCAACTATTAGGCCCAAAAAAAAAGTCTCCGGTTTCTGGTATGCGCGCGCGTCGCCGTAGCCATGCGCGTCGGCAAAATGAAAAAGTTTTTTTTCAATGAAAGATGAGGTCTCAAAACCGCCAAACTCACTGGTTTGACTAGAATCCTGCTGCTGCACAATTTTAACGTGTTTTTAGATTGGGTTATGGTCCAGAATAAGCTTTATGTGGCCTCTCTGGACTCCCATATATATTTGCACTAAGTTTAGTCGGGCACCATTCATGCCATTTGCAGTCATCAGCCGACATTTGAAGCAAAAAAATCAGGTAAAAAAAAAAAAAAAGCCGCGTCGCCGCACCACTTTTTGGGCAAGCTCCATACCAGAAACCGGAGACTTTTTTTTGGCCTTACTTCCCATCCCGGAGTAGTTTCTCCCTTGAGATCTAAAAAGTGCGATTTGAGTTTTTAGTGCAACTTTGGTATGCAATGAGATTGCACTTTGATTCGTGTATGAGGAAATATTAATTGAAAGAAAGGCTGGTCTACAATGGTTACCGAAAATCCTTATTAAATCATCAGCTTATGGTAGTTTACCAATATTAATGTGCACAAATAAGACATTAAGTACTATGCTGATGATGATATTAAAAATCATATTGTGGCTACTATCATGTAAGTTTTTTGGAATCATCCAGGCTTAAATACAGTGCTCGGTTAACATTATAATCATACTTAGAAACCATGGTGTTTGCAAGCCTCTTGGATTTCTGTTCTAAGTATTCTGTCATTTTGGATATATGGCTGGTCTTTCAAAGATAATTAGCGATGAAGACTGCCAAACTTCAAGCAATCAGTGCTGTGTTCAGAAACGAAAAAGTGCATTGTAGACCTAACCGTAAATTATAGAGCGGTCGAAAAGTGGTGATATTAAAAAAAATAGTCTAATAAAACAAACTTACGATCGGCATGCTACATCTATATTTTTCCACTGACATGGTCATCTACATATAGAACACCTGTTCAAGACCACTCATGTACTCTTTGTAACGTGGAATTCTTTGTTTCATCTTCGAACTTATGATCACCTACCATAAAAAGTGAAATCATTATATATGGACCATCAGGAAATGCAACTGAATAGAAGAAATCTTGCTTGTTTATTCGATCTCAAAGGAAATAAACATAAGGTACAAAATAACAGTTTATTCGGTCATGAGATTACATGTCTGTGTCACAACAAAGAAATAACTAGCAGAAAACGGACTGGCAAAACTACAAATAAACTTCCAAAAACTGTCCTTAAATTATGTACTTTCTGATAAAGAATCAGTTGCAAGCATCTTAAAACTCCAAGGAATATTCTCAAACTGTATCAATAACTGACAGACTGTGAATCATGAAGGAACGGAAAATCCAACGGAAAATCCAGGCGAATGAATGTCCCTTTAAACGAATAATTTTCTGTGTTTACACAATCCAAAAATTATATAAATTCTCTCAGGAAAGCTCTCATGCAGTCAGATTACTTAAGAATCTACTAGATCAAACGGATCTCTAAATCATCTCTAAATTACTAACAATCAGCTGAAACTAATACTGCATAAAACACCATGCATTACATGTACATTGTTTTAACGTAAAACTATCTTGTCCAAAAATGCGGTAAATCTCTTGAAAAATGTGTAAACTTATCAATTACTTCTTTGGCAAGACTCTTCTGTCATGTACTGTAACTGTAACTATTGCGTGTTCAAACGGGAAAGCTGTAAAAACTCGGGTTTATTTGACTGAAACTGACAGTGAAAATGCATAGGCAAACATGGCTGAACAAAACATGTGTTACATAAACTGTCCAACTATAGAGGGCTTCATTCAATGCTACTATTCTGTCCAGGTCACAGGAACAATATAGTAAGTTGCAAAAGATCCTGTTTTTATAATCGTAGCTTGTGACAAATGCATCTTTGATAAGGACTGACAACGTTTACTTTCTTACAATAATTCATTTCAGTAAAGAGTGTCGCTCATTGATTTCTGACATAGATATTCACGGATAGAAAAGTGAAGCACACGTTATATTATGAGTAATTTAAGGATAGTAATTCAATGAAAACTATTGTTTTCGCTTTGAATAATAAGTTTTGTCTCTTCAGCAGATCTGGAACCTGAGTAAGTTTTTGATCCAAATAATAATTAAAGTATGTTGCTTAATTCTTGACATTGGATTGAAAGAATATTTTGTTATTTATTAAGGTATCCTATTGCAGTTGGTTGATTAAAAAGCAATTTGATAAGCTCGAGTAAGAAGCATGTCTTTAATTTTTAAAACCTCAAAAATAATATTTCTTCTGTGAAGTCTTCCAAATACCACGATTTAAACACTGAAATATTTTTCAGTACTGTAACACTTGAACACTTTCTATAATCAAAATCATTTATTATACACCATAATTATATTTCAACTTACCACGACGCCAGTTTGCTTAGCTTTCTACGCTCTGAGATAATTTCCCTGACACAATACGTGTTCGGTTCTCAAAACTATGGGTGTAAAGAATATTCTGAGGTTAGCATATATCTTTCTCAGCTAAACTAAATAGTTAATCACATTAATATATTTTACTTCGTTCGTATATGGTATTTCGATAAGGTTTCGCCAGTATTTCTAATCATATATGAAACTAAATGGGCATATATATATGAAACTAAATGGATGGGCAAACCCCTTTGATGAATTGTCCTAGTTTTTCTAATTTTGGAGGTAAAATAGAGTTTGTCCTTTATATATAATGAGATGATCACTCTCAAACTCACAACCCACCAGTGATGTATTTAAGAAACAACAAGTGCAACAAGTTGTTGTTCCTTTGACATACACATCTATACTTAGTTAAAACCTTTAAATACCACTCGTACTTCCCTTACTTTTTGGAAGAGTAATTCATTATACAATACCACTGTTTCTTTTTTTCACAATCGTAGCTAGTGACAAACACCGATGAAAGGGATTGACAACGTAGTACGTACCTGTTTTTTACAATTATTAATTTCAGTAAATAGTGTCGCCTATTGACGCCAGTCAAAGATATTAAAGGAAAAGAAAAGAGACGCGTGGTCATATGTAAGCAGTTCGCTTAACTTGTTACGCTCTCAAATAATTTGATTGACATTGATTCTGCCATCGGTTGTCAAATTAGCCATAAAAAAACTTTCGGAATTTGTCATATTTATCCCATTCATGGCTTAGTGCATTAATAATTTTATCTAACGTTCTTAAAGGCAAACAGTATTAAATCTGGATACATTCTTTTATCTGCAAAATCTAGGAAAATGATCGACGCATTGTAAAATACAGAATATAAAATACATGTTCTTTCCATCTGAACTGTACCCTTTTTCTCTTTACAAAAGTTACTGTTTGCATTGCATTTGATATTCATGTAAATAAAATAGAATATACCCCAAGCATAAAAAGCCCGTACTATTATCGGACTGCAACTTCGCCAAAAATTGACAATACTTTTGTTCAAGTCACACCTCAATGGTTCAATATTAGACATGGCGTCGCACGTTTTAACGCAATCAAAGAAAACCGGTACTTTGTATGTTTCGAAACATATTGGAACGTTCTTGTTCATCTTAGAAATACAAGGTTTTCAATATGAAATAAATCAGGAAGAACGCATTTAGTAAAGGGGTGTGTAATGGTTAACATACAAATTTCTTAGCCAACATAAGTCGATAATCACATCAATTCATTTGACTACGTGTGTATACGGTATTTCGATAATGTTTTGCCGATTACAGTGTAGCTAATCATATATGAAACTAAAGATGGGCAAACCCCTTGGATACATGTTCTAGTATTCTCTCATTTTGGAGGTAAGAACGGGGCTTGTCCATTACATATAATGAGATTATCACTCTCAAACTCTTAACCCATTAGTGATGTATTTAAGAAACAACGAGTGCACTGTTACTGTACATTAAAGAGCGGTCGTAGTACATGTATGTAACGTGGTGATGTTGAAATTACTTGACTAAAAACAACTTGTTTCTTTGACATAAACATCAATACTTACTAAAGACCTTTAAAAATCTCTCGTAATTCCCTTGCTTTTTGGAATAGTAATTCATTGTACATAAATATATACCAATGTTCCTGTTTTTTATAATCGCATCTAGTGACAAACACCTATGATAGTGATTGACAGCATATGTATTTCTTACACTTATTAATTTCAGTAAATAATGTCACTTGTTGGCGCCAGTCATAAATATAAATGGAAAAGAAAAGAGACATTGGTCCTGAGTAAACAGTTCGCTTAGCTTTTTACGCTCTCAAATAATTTCATCGACATTGATTCGGCCACCAGTTGTCAAATTATCCGTAAAATGTCTCTCGGAACATTCATACTTATCCCATTCATAGTACATTAAATGTTCTACCTATTAAACGTTGCTAAATGTGTACAATATTCAATCTGGGTAAATCCAATTATCCCCGGAATCTAGGAACATTATCGATGCATGGTAAAACTACAGAATATAAAACATACGATGTTTTCTTCTGACCTTTATCAATTTTCTCTTTACAAGCGTTACTTTTAACATTGCATTTGATATCCATGTAAATAAAAGAGACTAAACTTGAGCAAAAAGGCTACGAAAAAATTCTCACTGCATATTCGCCCAAACTGACTGTACCTTTGTCCAAGCCCCACTTCAATATTTCATTACATACACTAGCGCCTAAAGTTTTACCCATATCGAAGAATACTATTCAAGTTCAGAAACATATCGGCACGTTCATATTCATCTTGAAAATGCAAGGTTTTCAATATGGAAATAAAACAGGAAGGAAGCAATCAGTAAAGGGGTGTGTAATGTGTACTGAAAGCAGGCTATCCTATTTGGTATTCTAAATTTGTGGAAACAATGACTTCTTCATTCTTGAGCTACTATTTTTTGGCACGTAAGACAAATTTCCTTCACAATTTCTGCCGTGTTTGTCAGAACGTACATATGCCTCCCAGGCAAAATGGTCTTCTTAAAGCAATGCTTCTTGGACCTCTGCAACTTCCAGCCTTCCAGGAGTTCTGGTCGAACAAAACCGTCTTGTTTCCCGCCAAAAGCTGTGATGTCACAAGGTAACGGCTTCTCGTGTTTGCCATCGTAACTTTTCACAATTTCAATGGCGGCCTCTAAGCAGGGTAACAACCGTCGCATGATGGATGTATTGAGGAAGGCCCTTTCATCCATGAAACTGAACTTTACTTGTTTGATCCTCGCTAAATTTGCAAAGAGCTTTGGGTGATTCTCCAGGGTCTTTCTTAACAAGTCAAAGGTTTCTGGTGAGATATTAAGCTCTTTCGGGTGAGGATAAGGTGCTGTCGGAGCGTACCAAGCACTGACGAATAGGTGGCGAGGGCAGATGCTTTCTTCCTTCAGAAGGAGATGAGAAACTTCAAACGCGATCAGACTGCCCATGCTGTGACCAAAAAATACGAATGGAATGTCTGAAAGATGTGGCATGAGCTCATCGTGGAGAAGACGTGTAATATCTTTCATGTCTGTCAGTGGTTGCTCGCTTTCACGCCCTTCCCAACCCGGCAGCTGGATCATCAAGACTTGGATTCCAAATGGAAGCAGATGTTGTATCCAGTGAAGAAACATCGAAGGTCCTGCCCCGTTGGAGGGAAAGCACACAAGCTTTACTCCCAACGACGTGGGTACCTCACCCTCGATGACAACTTTATTCTCTTTGGAGACGGACGACACTTCATTGCCTAAATCAGCTTGGCTGGTTGAATCGGCCTTTGCCAGTATTTGTTTTGTGATGTTCTTCGAAAGCTCTTGGATCGTGTTCTTGTCGTTTAGTAGATCCACGGCTCCCACAGTGACCTCGAACTGCTGGCTGATCATCTGGCTAACCTCTGAAGCCATGAGGGAATCCAAACCAAGGGAAACAGGAGAGGCATCATGTGGTGGCTCATCGGACATCCCAAGGTGCTGACTGAGAAGCTTGGCCAAAGTCTTGATAACCATCTCTTTGGCTTTAGCGAGTGGAAGCTTCACAATTGACTGCTGCAGGCTATCAGCGGCAATTAGATATACGTCTCTGTCTTGAAACAACTCCTTGAAAATGGACATGGTTCCATGCTTTTCTCTAAAGTGTTGTGTCATGAGACCCTGATGCGTCGCTGCGTAAAGTTTCCGATTAAAGGAGCCTGAGATACCCAGGTGTGGTTGTCGAACTGACAAAGCACAACCGATCACACCAAGAGCCTCTTCGGGACTCATGCTTTCTACGCCTGTCTTCTCCCACATTTGAACAATACCGCGGCGAACTGCAAACCCAACGTCATTTATCAAACCAAGCTGCACTGCAGTCGCTGGTAAATTACGCCTGTGTCGATACTGGGCGAGGGCGTTCAAAAAGACATTGGCAGCACAGTAACTGCCTTGTCCCGCATTGCCAAGCAGAGACACAATGGAAGAGGTCATGATGAAATGATCGAGTTTGATGCCAAGCTTAAGTGTCAGCTGGTGTAATAGAAGTGCCCCATAAGCCTTGGGAGCCATGACACTGTTCCATGACTCTGCTGTGATATTTTGGATGAATCCATCACTGAAGACAGCGGCACAGTGGAATATGCCTTTCAAAGCCGGCCACTGGTCATCCTTCATTCCCTGCAGTGCCTTTTCAACGTCTGTGGCATTAGAAACATCCAACTGAATGTGTTGCACTGTGGCACCAACTTCCTTTCCTTTATGTATTACCTCATGTATATCATCAGTTATTTCCCCTCTTGAACCAGTATAGATGTATCGAGCTCCTCTTGATATAAGCCACTCTAGAAGTTTGAGACCAAACCCCTTAATTCCTCCTGTGATGAAGTATGCCGATTCTCCATCAGCAACAAAACCATCGTGCTTAAGAGAAGGTGGCAACATAAGCTCCGCTGATGCTACCTGGATGACTTCATGTTTGGGGATTTCAACATTCTGTGCAGCCAGAGAAGACAGTTCCTTAACATTGTTGGTTTTGCATGTCAGGTGACTACCTTCCACATTTGGGTCAAACATTTCCCAGAGATTCGACAGAGCATCTGATATCTCGGCATCGGATAAACCTTCAACTGCTGACTGGAGATCTGTATCGAAGGTCACCATCTTCATCTGGGAAGGAAGCATCGGAAGTCTTGCATCTTGTCTCAGTCGTTGCATTATCACAACAGTGGCGTTTCTTCTCAACTTTGGCAACAACGACTGCAGTGTATGATCTAAGGTTGATGATCTGAGAGACAGAAACAGCACGTCAACTGACGCTTTATTTACCTCATTGAGACACCTCACAGATATCTCAGCGTTCGTTTCCACGAAATCAGCATGGCCATCAGTTAAGAGGACCACTTCGGCTCCCAATGTAGTTGACAGGTGCATCGTTGCGATATCACAACTATCTAGCGAGTCGAACTTGAAGACAAGACGCATACCTGCAGAGACGTGCAAAGCCTGATTGAAGAAGACGGCAGTTGGGAAGTAATCGTTAACGATACTGACTGCCTCTTTGGGGTTCAGGTGGGAAGGCACCTCAACTAAATCCTTTGACAAAGCGGTCATTGACGATTTGACTTCCTTACAAGAAATAAGGCCCAAATACGTTCCGCAGACATCTTTTGATTCCGATGTGTCAACTCTACCAGCGTACACTAATGTTATGGGTTCTAAATGGTTGTCCCCTTCCAACTTATGCCCATTGCAAACACTAAAAGCTTCGACCTTTACCCGGACAGTGCCTGAATCGGTGTTATCAAACTCACTGGAAGGCGTTTTGTGAATGAAGACACGATTACGATCAGATATCTTTTGCTCACCAACTGACCAGAACTTTGTTTGAACAACCCCTGAAGCTTTGGAGAGATTTTCCTTTGTCAAGCGAGGTGAAAAGAAATCCCACGTTAGAGCCTGATCTTCTGGGTGTGTGGAGTTGGATGTCCTTGCGGCGACTACATTTTCGTCATTCAGATAGTAATCTTCCTTGTAAAATATTTCGCAAGCAATCTTGGCGCACTCCAGGCTGTTTGCGATCATGGGCAGGTCAACAGTAAACACTCGAACCGAAGGCTCTTCATGACTGACTGTGACTCCGATAGTGTTGAGGATGGCCGCAAATGGGTTGACGTCGTCCTCTTCTTTTGCATACTGTGCGCCCTTTGTGAATAGAATCAACTTAGTCTTGGTCCCCTCCTTCTGTAAAGCCTTTATGACGGAGTAGCAAAACAATACGCCTCTTTGGCATTTCTCAAACTCATTCTTGCGCATGACAGACCCCGAATTCAAATGTACATCAGAAACCTCAGTGTTCATCATGACCAGAACCGCATCAGATTCTTTATTGTCAGAAACGACGGAAACTGCCCGTTGCAAAGCATTGGCACTTTTCGTATCAATGACTGTTACATCATAGGTTTCTACTTTCACCAACGAATCTACAAATAAACCACTTAATTCTGTATCATCCGGGAAGACGACCACTTTGTTTTTGGCGGATTGGAATTCAGATGGTCTGTTTGTTACTTTCACTGAACCAAAATGTTCCCATGACAAACTCCACATCTGGGGCTCCATCTTGTCAGCTTGAATGGTTTCAAACACAAGTTCCCTTACTGAGCAGAATACTTCATTTGTGGCTGCGTCAGCCACATCAATATCACAGAAACGCTGGTCCTTTCCGCCAATTTTCGCGTGGATACAAACATGCGGTGAGGTTGGAGCAGAGAGAGTGAGCGTCTTGATGCTTCTTGGAACCTGATACACAGGTTGGAATGTTTTGCTAGAAGCCTCCATTTCTGCTTCTGTTGCTAAACGTAGGAGCACGGCAAAGGCTTGCAAGAAACTATCCATGAAAGCTGGATGGTAAACGTAACGATGGAATTCTCTCTGCACACTTGGAGGGGCAGCCGCATACAATAAACTTTCTCGAAAATCTTTAGAACTTGATATCTTCCGAACTCCTCTAAATGTCGATCCCAGTTCGAACCCAGAACCTGATGCCTTGGTGTAAAAGTCCTCATCTTGAAGGATCACTTCACACCTTGATATGATGCTCTCTACATCAATAGTAGCTGTCTTCACCTCACTAAGATTGGCTACAGATGAAGAGATGATGTTTAGGTGACAATGTTGGATCCACGTTCCTTTTGACGCATCGTGGCTCCTGAGCGTGAAGAGAGATTGTTCTGGTGTCTTCTTCTCAACTGTTGTCTCCAAGGTACCTTCGCAATTTGAGGCAAACATGAATCGATCGAATTGCACTCCACTCAGAATCAGAGGATAGGGATCAGAGCTCATCGATCGAGCTGCAGCAAGAGCTGTTTCCATGTAAGCAGCAGCAGGGACAACCACAGCCCCTTGCAGGACGTGATCCTGAACCCAAGGTACCCGAGATGCATTCAGGTCAGCTCGCCATATCTTCACCGGACTTTCTTGAAGATAGAAGGTAACCCTGGGCTCTCCCAAGAGCATGTGTTGGCCATCCCTCACAGGAAAGAGAATACTCTCCTTTCCTTGCGGTGAAATATTTGTGCACATTTCTCGCCGCCACGGATAGTGTGGGACCGACTCTACTCGGCGAAAAGTCGAGCTGAACAGGCTATGAAACTTCACGGGAATGCCACTCACATGAAGCCTCATCTGCGCCAACAGGAGATTCTCAGAATCGTTTGCCGTCGTGGTGGTGTCTTGGGGCCGTAGCAGAGATGCAGTTGTGACGAATTTATCACCTGTAGCCTGAATTGAAGCCAGGGTATCTTTGACAGCTGGCAGGAGTGAGGGGTGAGGACCTATCTCCACGAACACACGAAAGCCATCTTTTGCCAGATTCTGAATAGAATCCATGAAGGAAACCTTCTGTCTGATATTTTGATACCAGTACTCAGGAGAGTTGGCCTCCTCAGGCGTCAAATAACGCCCAGTCACAGTTGACATCATTGGAATCGTGCGTCCCTTCTCCGACGCGTTTTGTACCTTAAGAAACTTACCCGCTTTTTTGAGGAAAGGGTTCTTTACAACCTCCTGCTGTTTGCTGTGAAAAGCATTATTTACCTTAAGTACCACACACTTTATGTTATCTGACTTGAGCTCGTTAGCCAGACCCTCAACAGCCGAAGTCTCACCTGAAAAAACGATTTGACCTGGGCTGTTGATAGCCGCAACATCGAGCACTTGCCCATGCTTGCTTTGACTAGCGAATTGGACAGCGTCTTCAACACGATTCAAGACAGCCACCATCTTCCCTGAGCCACTGGTCTTACGTAGCTCTCTTCCTCTCCGGTAGATGAGCTTGACTGCGTGTTCCAGACTAAGGAGACCTGCTGCGTAGGCTGATGCAACCTCTCCTACACTATGACCAACCACTGCGTCTGGAACCACATCATGCAACTTCCATAGATCAATAAGACCTATCGCAACCGCACACAGGCAAGGCTGGCTAATTTCTGTGGGGATGCAGATAGTAGAAAACTCATTAACAGTTTTAAATAAGACGAACAATTCTTTGGGTTGTGACGTAATGACAAATGACAATTCAAAACAACAGTCATCCAAAGATCACAAACTATGTTCACAATAAGGATTCATAATGTTACCTGTTTGATTGATTCTCTCTCGGTCCGTTTCCTCAGACAGCATGCTGACCAATGACCACGTCGCTCCACATTTCTGCAGCTGCTTGTCGATAACCTTCAAATTTAATTAATTAGATTTATTTCAACAGAACAATCTTTACTTTGGATAGTAGCATTTCTAATTGTTTGTACTTTTTCAGTACGAACGCAAGAGCGTAACTAAGGAACCTTAGTTTTTTCAAATTCTTTGCTGACTTCCTTTGCGTTCAATATCTTAATTTCGAGTCAATTTAGTAATATTATAAGCAAGGAATTGTGCTTACCTTCATCTTTGAAGCAAAGTCAGGCTGTGTATGCATCAACTCTCTCGCCATGCCCCACCACTGAGTACCCATGCCGGAGAAGACAAACACCATCTTGTGTTCAGTTCTTGTGGCTGATGGAGCTACACCTTCAACAGACCGATCCAAGGTCTGCTGGCCTCCAGCTTCAACTTTCATTCGAAGTTGGTGGATCGCATCTTCCTTGGAGTTGACAGCAAAACCCACACGGTGTGTGTGGTGCTGTGAACGACAGGCGGCCGTGTACAGACACGAGTAGAAAGCATCGTCTGGCATCTGTGTGTTATCGGTAAGAAAGTATAGCCAATCTTTTATTTTTTGACGAAGAGCATCGGAGCTGGCTGCAGATAGGAGGAAGCAACTCAACTTTTTACCAATCTTCATGAACTGGCCATTCTCTTGAGGATTTGTTGGCCCTTCAAGAACAATGTTTGCATTTGCTCCACCGAAACCAAAGGAACTGCAGCAAGCTAAGTGCCAACCGTCTCGGTCTGGCCACGGTATCAGCTCAGTTGGGACATTTATTTTTAGCGCCTTGAAATCGATGTTTTCGTTCGGTGTTTTAAAATGCACGACTGGTGGGATCTTCCGTTGATACAGACACAAGGCGACCTTGATAATGCCAGCGACTCCTGCCGCACCTTCAGAGTGACCCACATTTGATTTGACGGACCCAATATAGAACGGAGGATGTTTGAGTCCTCTACTTCGTCCCATAGCCTCGCCCAAGGCACCTGCCTCGGTAGTATCCCCAACCCGTGTTCCTGTGCCATGAGCCTCTGCGTAGACAATCTGATGGGGGTCCACTCTGGCGTTGTGACAAGCGCTCTTCACCAAATCCACCTGCGCGTCGAAACTTGGGTTTGCAATACCCGGTGTGCGGCCATCATTACTCAGTGCACCTCCTCGCAGTACAGCGTAAACTCGATCGCCATTCTTCAGAGCCTCGGACAACGGTTTCAAAACCACAACCCCGGCACCTTCGCTGCGTGAATATCCATCCGCCGATTGGTCAAAGCTTTTGCACTTTCCGTCTCCTGACAGCATACCAGCCTGACAAAACCCAATGGATGTAACTGGTGTAAGGATCAAGTTGACTCCTCCAGCAAGAGCCATGGTACAGGAGTTCTGTTTGAGTGCCTCACACGCCAGATGGATGGAATACAGGGAGGATGAACAGGCAGTGTCCACGGAGAAACTGGGTCCACGCAGATCGAATTCGTATGAGATGCGGTTGGACACCATGCAGGAGTTGGTACCCGAGTTAGAGTATTGATTCATGTTGTGGACTGGTGTACAGGCAAATGATGAGTACTCCTGTGCCGTCACGCCCATGTAGACACCTGTCTTGGAACCTCGTATATAAGAAGCTGGTATCCCAGCATTCTCAAGCGCCTCCCACGTGACTTCAAGAAGGAGTCTGACTTGTGGATCTAGATGAGCTGCTTCGTCTGCATGAAAATGAACAGGAAATTGAACAGAAAATCAAATATGCGAATTCTTGATGTTATACGTAAAAGTTGATTTCGATTTCATTTCGTCCAAGGGGACAAAGTGGCCTGCCTTAATATTTTTTTGGATTGCTTGTAACTGCCAGTTAGACTAAAGCTGCAAATAAAACGTTGCGTTTTTTAAAATTCAATAAACTCTCTCATTTAACGGTTAGGTGTTAAAGCGGGGGTAATCATAAACCCCACGTCGGTCGGTGGTTAGATATTTTTTTTTTTAAGATACAAGCCGATAGGCTAAGGCAGTTTGTACAAGTTTTAATCCACCTGAGGCCATACTTGGGCTTCAAGGTAAGGGGTGACTTGCATTCATGGTCATGTACCTGGCAAATGATTAATGACATTGTTTACGTCTTTTGATAATACCCCAGATTCGAGCAACAAGTCAGTTTTGCTTGAGGAGCCGCACTGTAGTCGGATGACCAAATTACACCTAGCCAAAAATATTACAGTTTCGAGTCAAAATGCTTTCGCAATTGTCAAGTTTTTAGAAATATGCCCTGCTAGGCCAAGTACAAGTGGCGGACCGCCTCCTGGGCACAGGCTTTTAACAGTCAATGCATATAAACAGATTAAAAAGTTGCTGTATTTTATCGACTTTTGTAAAGTAATTGTTGTCGTTCCCTTACTTTAGATGAGATATACAGATTGTTTTGTAAAAATGGGGTGATCCAAAAAACTTACCGGGTGGCATATGAAAGAACTGCCTGTCGAACATGTACGGGTCCTGAGAGATGTAGCCACCGTTCTTGATGTACATCTTGCCCGCCCTCTTCTCTCCAGGACTTAGGAAGTAGCTGGCATCGAAGCGATCTGCAGGTACCGACGTGGTGCAGTCTAACCCCTTCACCAACATCTCCCAGAACTTCTTGACGTTGTCGATCCCGTTGCCATAGCGACAGCCGATGCCCACTATGGCCACTTTCTGGTTTTGGCGGGAGAGTCCCGCGTCCATGTTTGTACCACGTGATCAAGAATCAGCTTGTCTGCTTCTGTGTAACTGATACAAAATGAACAAGAGGGGTTGACATGAAAACCTACAAACAACGTACGTATTTTTTTTCTTTTAAAATAATTTTCCGCGGTTTTTATTTCAAACGGAATAACGCAGGAACTTCAGAAATGATACGAACATCAACCCCCATACAGAGGTGTGCATGCAAGTGTGACGTCATGACCACTGTGGAGTGATGTGGCCTCGTGGTTAAGGGCACTGGATTCGTGGTCTGTGGGAAAAGCTGCGGGTTGTGGGTTCGAGTCAAGCCGGGGTCATGGTGCGTGTGCCCTTGAGCAAGGCACTTTGTCGCTCATTGCTTCTCTCAACCCAGGAGTAAATGGGTACCTGTGAGGGCAGAGATGGCTGTTGAGATTGAACAAGCTTGCTTGCGCCTAACAAGCAGCATCGAGCTGTCTACTCCCCAGGGAGCTGAGATGGTAATTGGAATGTTTCATTGGCCCAATGACCAGGGGTAATAATAATACTGTAAGCGCTGTGATTTAGTTTACTAAAAAGAGCGTTCTTAAATGCCGATTATTATTATTATGATTATGACGACGTCATCAGGTATCAATTTACAAGCGATTTTAGTTTTGTTTTAAACGGACCGTATTATTTCAATCATAACTCACGACCAAAACGAAGAATCAATTGTATACATGGTGGTCAGATTGACCATGACTTGGTGCACGTAAGGTCGCTTGACCTCTTCTTCCGGGTTAGCTGAAGGTCAAAGTTACGATTATTCAAAATACCGAAAGAAGCGTGTATATTGAAACAAACAAAATTCTTCCAAACGGTTCAAGGGATGACAAGGGTGCAATGTTGCACAACTTTTTCAAAGATGTGACAATATTGTAACGTTATTATGACGTCATCACATATCCAATTACAAGCAATTTATTGTCGAAACCTGACATTATACTTTTAATATATTTTTTAAACTGAATTGATAACCAGGTTCATTTTTTTCGAGGTGGTTTATATTGTCTGAGGCAATATGTTTTATTCCCAGGCACAAACCCGCTTGACCTTTACTTCCGGAAATAGAATGATAAATGAATATAACTTGAAAACGGAAGCATTTTACCTTAATAGTAATACTATTTAATGAGAAAATGTTCAGTGAGTATTAGTTAAATAATAAGCGTTATAATGACGTCATCCTCAGAAAGGACGCCCTCTGCGTTAGTTTAAAGAAAGTTTTTTTTAATTTAAAAACCGCACCTCAAATTTTTAGCAAATTGCCCCTAATCATGGATTGGAAAACAAATGAATTCGCAAAGTTTCATAATGCTGACATCATCAGACCAGAAGTTATTTTAGAGAGACTTTGTAAATGATCTGTGACCGGCCAGACTTAAATTTCTGTAATTATGCTGCCAGGTCCCGTCTGTAAAATGTTTCTTTGTCGATGTCTTGTATTTTTAACATAAACAGCGATGCGAAAGTTGTCGAAGCATTGCGAGCGCAGTGTTATAAAAGCATAGGGCTTCGGACGCACATTCCGTGAATTTTTCGCTAGTTTTCTTGGAGAGTAAGCAAGCATGGGTAGGTCACTTGACTGCTTGTCGTCGCTGCTGCCAGCCACACCTTATTGCGAGCCAGCTTGTCTATATGTTGCTGTGTTTCGTACGTGGTTTTGCCATGGTTAGCACGCCGCATGTGCATACACATATCGTGTACATGCATATCGTGTAGTTTGCCCAAACATCCCGAGGCATAGGTAGGCCACAACTGCTCCGGTAAGTGTTTCAACTTCGTAAATTTTGATGTTATCTTAAATAGCACTTTGCGACACATTTTTATGCCATGAATACTCAGGGTTGAAAGCCAAGTCTGTATAAAACATTTTTTATGCCATAAAATAAATATCCCAGGTTGAAAGCCAAGTCTATATGAAAATTGTGCATAATATGACTTGAATTTTCGATACCGAACCTCCTTGTAATATTGACTGTATACTTTCACATACTTCGATCCTAAATATGTTGAATTATAGGGTCAATGCACTTTATTGAACTCAAATTTGGATAGCGTGGATGGAAAGAGAAATAAGAGAATGTTTTAGCCTGAAATGAAACACATGAGACATATAGATGGATGCACGAATACAGAATATTGAATACTCTTTTTATGAGCATTGCTGTTTAAACAAACACATGTTAAGGAATAAATGTACCGTATAAAATGCACTGTAAATTCATCAATATAGCATAACTACGGATGTGTACACGTGTACTGTGGAAATGAAACATTTTTGTTGGCACTGATGAGTATTTAATATTCCTTCATCGAAACATTTATTAATATTTATGAGATTACTTAATATGTACAGTAATTTTATTACAGCTACTGCTTGTGGTTCTGTGGTTCCTGATGGTCACAAATACAGAAGCCTTCTCGAGTAGACCAGTGTATCCCATATCCAGCATCCATAACATTTGGGTACGTGTATAAAACATTATTGCTTGAAATGTGCCTAAGAAATTGGAGATTTAGAGATTTGGAGATTTGGAGATTAATGTGTTGTAAAATTATTGCATAGCAAGTGCTTATGGAGATTATTTCTCCTTGATTAAATTTTCATGCCTTTCATATTTTTATGCCTCTCTTAAGAAATGTACTTGTAGATTCGCACCAGAAACATTTCTATAGAACAAATATATGGAAATTGAGGTTTATAGAACCGCTTATGCAATTTCTCCTGACGAGAGATAACCAAGGATAAGGAGAGATGGTTATTTAAAATAATTGAATAATTGAATAATTGGATTCATATTCATTGTATATTTTGTAATGAAATTAAATTAATTTCTATTCTTCTGTTTTCTGTTATTACAGACTTCTGAAGAAAGACTGTCGTTTTTTTGTTTTGTAGTTTTTTGTTTTGTAGTAATACAATTTTGATCAATTAAGTGGAATTATATCCCTTTCAAATTTTCTGCGTAACCTCCCCAGCTCGGTTACAGATCAATGTTTAACAAGTTTAAATTAATATCCATTGTTCTGTATCTACAAGTCTAGAGATCATTGTTGCTAAAACGATAATAATAGTTTCATTTCTGACGATGGGCAGCATAATACTGCGACGTCGCCAAACCGGAAGTCAGGTGTAATATATACGTACACATACGTTCGTGTTATTTTCTAATTCCCAGAAGTTCTTTTTACTTTATGCGGCATAACTTGTCTTAACTTAATAAACATTCGTTAATCACAATTCAAACAGATAAAGTCATCAATACAGAAAAATCGTGTAAATAAAATGTGACTTGAAAACTCTTGTTTCCTAAATGTATTTGTTCAAATTACTAAATGCTCACTCGGTGAGGGCCCTGTCACACTTCTGCGTATCCTAATTCCTTATGAGTTGCGCATTGACATTTTTTTCATACGCAGTCGTACGCACAATACGCACCTCACATGCATCTCTATCGTTTTGTGTAGGTTTTATGTACGCAGATATACGCATGGTACGGCCCAGTACGCAGGATAGTTTTGGGCATGCACAAAACTACGCTGCGTACGCTGTTACGCAGGTCATAAGTTATAAATAAGCAGCGCATCGGTCCCGCATCGGTCGAGTGCGTTACGAGTACGCTATGTGTTCGTGACGCACCCCGTCAGCATATGAGCCGCCTGTATTGGACGTATACATAGCGTACTTGCAGCGCAGATGCAACGCACGCTGAACGGCGAGCGGCGGAAATACGCTCAGAAGTGCGTCCAGCATGCGGTCGGCATAAGTCGGGTGCGTCCGGAATACGCTCGGCATGCGCACTGCATACTGACCTATTCGCAGCCCGAAAAATAATGTTGTGCACTGCATACGCAACTCATACGCATCTCATACGCAATGGATGCGCTGAATTCGTTTGCGTCGCACATAAGTCAACGTGATCAAAACATTTCGACGTTAATTGAGCGTACGGCTGCGTATTGAAAAATTTTGATAAGGAACTCATAAGGAATTAGGATACGCAAAGGTGTGACAGGGGCTTAAGACCCGAGCACCGTTTTAGAATTGTTTATATTAATATTCTTGAGTGGTCGGGTACAACCCGACCACTGTTTAAAATCGTTCTGATAAATCTTGTTTCTCTCTTTCTTTCGATCTTTTTGCCCGGATATAGCAACCAATAGCATACAAATAGCATCTTCCTTCATTTCAAATCCAGCGCACTTACACGTTGGGCGCGTTACGTCATTGAAGTTAGTATGCGTTTACGTCACTGAACTAAATACACACCTGTCTCGATGCATGCACTTAGAGACGATTTCGCTTCTCTTACTTAGCGTACCAAAATCTCTGGCCTGCAGTGTATTAACAGTACACATGTGTACAATATCTAGATCATTATCATGTGATTTTATCTGTATTTTTGAATTTTTAATTATTTTCAGCGTTTTTTGTTTATTCATCTAACTAACAAATCCTGTTAATATCTTAATTCGCTTTGTAACATGTTTGGTAGGTCATGATAATAACCACATAATTGTCAAACAAATGTGTGACGTCATTACGATGTCATAAAAATGTCATTTATAAAAAATCAAACGTTATTCGGTCATGGAACTCGGTTCAATATTTGAAACTGATCATTTACATAACCGCACATAGCTGTTATAGGGGGAAAAAATAGAATTTGTTAAAAGCACGGAAGAATTTTGTATCAAGATTGAGAAATAGCCAGGCTTAAATGTACATAAATATTTTTTTGATGGGGGACAATAGTTTTTCTTTAAAATGGTTCACAGCATGAACTTGAAACTTTAACCAAACATTTAATTCTGATACAGAGGATTGCTGTGAGGTTATGGTGACATCAGATTTTAGTGAAGAACGTGACGAATTTCGTTCATTAACAACCCATGAACAAAATAAACAACCAATGTTTATACTTTGTAAAATGATTGAATGTATATACATTTACGCATACTAAAAGCAAAGTCGCTTAACA